GTGGGAAGAGAGGGTGGGGAAGCGCACTAGCAGCAGCCAAAATGAGGCTGGGCTTACCTGGAACATCACACATGAAGAAATAAAAACTCATTTATAAAACAGGAAATAAAGAAAACATCAAAATGAATGTCTGTACCTTGCACTTCAGTGTAGCGTAGCTAAAGCAAATGAAAGAAATGCTGAGGTAAAAGAGCTGAATAGAAAACTTCAAAGGGCAGCACGAGAGGACAAAGTGAAGTATTTGAGTGAAATGTGCAAAGGCCTAGAATTAGAAAAGCAAAAAGGAAGAATTCAGTGAGCATATCTCAAGCTGAAAAAGACTGAAGAAAAAATTAAGCCTCAATTTTAATAGTGAAGTCCGTTCTGGGCAAACTATTGCACGACGCAGGAAGCATCAAGAGAACATGGCAAGAAGACACGGTCACTGCAGCAAAAAGAACTTGTCGCTACTCAACCACTTTAAAAGATAGCATACGATCAAGAACCGATGGTACTTAGTGAGACTGGAGGCATTAGCCACAAAGAAGGCTCCAGGAAAGGACAAAACACCAACGGAAATGTTTCAACCAGCTGTTGAAGCACTGGAAGCATTTACTCATCTAGGCCAGGGAATTGGAAAGACGGATACTTAGCCAATGGACTGAAAGAGAGCTGCATTTACACCCATTGCAGAGAAAAGTGATCCAGAAGAGCACAGGCACGGCCATTGGGACAATAGCACGACTGCACCTGCCTGCTTCGTCCTCATTCTCACAATTTGTTGTTGAGTCTATTGTTGCAACCACTGAGTCAATCTATCTTACAGAGGATCTTCCTCTTTTTCTCCAACCCTCTACTCTACCAAGCATGGTGCACTTTTCCAGGGACTGGTGTCTCTTGGTATCATGTCCAAAATACGTGAGATAAAGTCCCACCAGCTTTGATTTTAAGGAGCACTCGCCTGCACTTCAAGACAGAACTGTTTGTTTACTCGTTATTGTTGTTAGGTTCTGCCAAGTTGCTTCTGACTCAAATTGGTGTCCTCTAGGTGCTAGTCATTTCTGATAACATGTCCAAACAGTTCTGGCTTTATACGCATGGATGTTGCTATTGCTGTTATTATACATGTCCAATGTATAAGAGACGAGATCTTGACACCTCGCTTCTAAGAAGCATTCTGGTTATACTTCCAAGACAGGTTTGTTTATTCTGGTCGGCCTCCTTATTCCCTGTCCAACTTTCACACACGTATAAGACAATAGACGATAGTATGGCTTGAGCCTAGCATATCTTAATCCTCAAATGCTCGTTAACATTTTAAAGAAGTCTTATGCAGCAGATTTGCCCAATACCATGAGATTTCTTTTTTTTTTTTATTAAAAAGTCATTTTATTGGGGGCTAGTACAACTCTTATTACAATCCAGCCAGCCAGCCATTGTGCCAAGCACATTTGTACATTTACTGTCCTCATCATTCTCAAAACATTTTCTTTCTACTTGAGCCCTTTGTATGAGCTCCTCATTTTTCTCCTCCCTTCCCACTCCCTCCCTTATGAACACTTGATAATTTATAAATTATTATTATTTTGTCATGTCTTACACTGTCCAATGTTTCCCTTCACCCACTTTCCTGTTGTCTGTCCCCCAGGGAGGGGGTTATATGTAGATCCTTGTAATCTGTTCCCCCTTTCTACCCCACCTTCCCTCCACCCTCCAGGTATCGCTACTCTCACCACTGGTCCTGAAGGGTTTTCTTGACTGCTGCTTCCATGAATGTTGATTACAGATGCAAGCAAAATTAAATTATTAACAACAGCAATTTTCCATCCATTTATTTTGATGTTGCTTATTGGCCCAGTTATGAAAAATTTTGATGCTTAATAATTGCTCTTTTTTTTTTTAATCTCCCAGGGCATTTGTGAAGTCAAAATAGGAAAGCACTTTTGACTTTTCAAACTTTAAATACAAGCTATCCAAATGCAAGGGATTTGCAATTTTCAGGGTGTGAGTTCTTAGAGTCCTTATTCACATGCAGTCAAGAAATCAAATAATTTATTGCACTAGGCAAATATGTGTTGAAGGGGAAAATATTACTTTTCAGGCTGTAATTCCCATGGCCCAAGAACATGTTTGCCTCATATGCATGTGGAAACTGGAGAACGAATCAGGAGGACTGAGGGAGAAGAGTTAGTGCATATAAATTAGGTTGTTGGCAAAGAATATTGAAATTACATTGGCCTACCAGAATAAACAAACCTGTCTTGGAAGCATAGCCAAAATGCTCCTTAGAAGCGAGGTGTCAAAATATCATCTCTTATACATTGGACATGTTATCAGAAATGACTAGTACCTAGAGGATGCCAATTTGAGTCAGAATCAACTCAACAGAACCTAACAACAATAACAATAACAACAATAGCAACATTCATACGCATTCCAAAACTGGACAATGAATAAACAATCCCACCCCCAATGGATAGCTTTGAATTACAGTATTGGCAAAGAATACTGAATATACCGTGGACTACAAGAACAGGCAAATCTGTCTCGGAAAAAGTACAGCAAGAATGCTTCTTAGAAAGCTGATGGTGCCCGGCTATCAAAAAGTATAGCGTCTGGGGTCTTAAAGGCTTGAAGGTAATCAAGCGGCCATCAAGCTCAGAAGCAACAA